TCAAATACAAGCTGAGTTGACTGATTCCGCCACAGCCATGTGCACCACTCAAGAAGCGATTCCTCAACAATGAGCGGAGTTGGCTCAGAAAGAGGCTTAGCTTGCTCAAGAGGAAGCTAATGTGAAAGGACTCCACCTCAAGAGTGCATAAATTTTTACAAACTATTGTAAGGAGGTGCAACCTCTTGAGGAGATCAAGAAGGAGGCGGCTGCTGTGGTGCTGAATGAAAATGAGCTCAGGAGAGAAGCTGCAGCGACAGTGCGAGCCACTCATGAAAGGAAGCTTTCGGACGTTAAGTCTCGGCTCACATCCATTACGCTGATGGGCTCAAAAACTTAACTCTCTATATCGTTCTTTTGACGAGAATAATAATTTCGTATCACTTTTAGATTAAATATTGTTACTTTGTAACAAAATAACAATTTTGAATAAAAGTGATAACATTTTGCTTTCCATTATTTCTTTCTGTAATATTTTAACTTAAAACTATGAAAATGATTGAGGATGCCAGAGGTGTAATGTTAACTTAGTATAAATTTTTACTTAGGGCCTGTTTGGATTTGTAGGGGGTGAAGGAAAGTTAAGGAAAACTGAGTAAAGGGAAGGGAAGGGAAGGGAAGGGAGTTCCCTTCCCCTTGGTTACACCCTAATTTGGGGGATAACAATTTTTATACTATTAGGGGGTGAACCAAGGGGAACTAGGGTGAATTAACTTCACCTCCTAAGTGTTCCCAAACAAGGTGAATGGAGGTGAATGGTTCCCCTAACTTCCCTTCACCCTCATTCCCCTCAATCCAAACAAGCCCTTAGAGTAAGATTCATAAATTTTCTTTATTATCACTAGGATACACTAGTGCATCCTAGACGGAACTTTTTTCGTCTAGGATGTGAACATTCTAGACTGAACAAATCCGTATAGGATATTCCGTCTATAATGTTACATCCTAGACGAAATTTCCATCTAGGGTAGTATCCTAGACAGATTTTATTAAATATTTTTTAATTATTTGTGGGCCCCGTTATCCTAGACGAAAATTTCCATCAAAGATAGCTTCCTAGATGGAAAAAAAAATCTTAATTTCATTTTCACGGCTTCAAATTTTAAAATCCAGCGGCTCCGAAAATTTCCAACTTATATATGTAAAAACTCCCTAAAAATCTTCATCCCCCTCTTCCAAATGTTAAGCTTCACTCCTCCCCATCGCCGACCGGATCTCCCCTTCATAGTCGGCGTCTACGTCCGCAACGGCGCCAACCCTCTGTTCGAACCTGTCGCGAAACACCACTTCTTCGACGGAGATGGGGTGGTACGATTTCGATGGGCTCTGGCAACTGTTAGATATTTTGTTAAGAAAAGACAATTTTTCCTTCATGAATTATAATAAATATTGTAATTAAAACATGCAATTAAAATATGTGTAACGGATATATAATTATGGGGAACGTTACAAAATTTATGACGAACATTATAGAATTAATTACGGGTTTTGTAACGTCTTTTCCAACCCTATATATATACATATGTTGAGCTCAAAATGATAAGGAAAATATACAACAAGTTTCTCTTGTTTTTCTTCTCTCCCCTACATATTATTTTCATCTACATTTCAGTTTTATTTTATGGGCAACTTCCTTCATTTGAGCTGAAGCTCTGCACTCTCGCCCGAGTGTAGAGGCCAGTCATTTTCGGGGGTTTTTACCGCTAGGGGGAGGGAACCATCTACGCCAGGGCGATAGGCGGTTTCTCAATCTTCTAGGGCAGTGAATACACGACTGCTCCCGTTCAGGCCAGTTTTAATTGTTTAATTTTTTGGATTTATCTGCATGCTATAATCTTAATTATTTGATAATTTTCCAACAATCTAGAAGATTGAGAAGTTTATAGCTTTGATTTAAATCTAAAATTATTTTAAAGTTGTTGTTCATTCGAGATGGTTACTGTTCATCCGAATTAAAAAAAAACAAAAAGAAAATTGCTACTAAATTGCTTATCTATTAATTAACTTTTTGTTAAAAAAAAATTATTACTGTTTAAAAAAAAACAGAGGAATTTTATAGTTGTTGTTAACACAAAGAAAATGTAATTGTTTTAATTATATATTTGTTTATCTATTAGTATTATTGATTTGATGTTATAAAAATTTGGAGAAAAAAAAACTGTTATTGTTCATTCCAAAAATAAAAACTTTTAATGTTCATTTATTAAAAACGGTACTGTTCATTTTATTAAAAAAATGTTACTGTTCATTTAAACAGTTTTGGTTATTAAAAAAAAATTTGTAGTTAAATATTTCTGTTAATTTAATTTAATAGTTAATTACATTTATCTTATAGTTGTTTTATAATCAATAACTATTACAAGTTACGAATATCAAATAATCTTTATTGGTTTCTAAAAGTCTAGTTTATATTTGTTAGAATCATCTAAAACCTACCCTTATCCCCTTGTGCTAGTGAATATGCACGCATTTGAAACATGCTATAAATTTGCAGCAGTGTACATTTTTATTCTTAAAAATTTTATATGCATGGTTTTGACAAGAATAAAGTGAACAATATCTGGATTTTTTCATGGTTTAATGCTTTCATTTCTTTAACCTATCAATATGGTAACTTCTATTATTAATAATTCCATACTTTGGAGTGCTTATGCATCTAATAAGCTTAGTACAGAAGGTGGTAAAAGTGAATGCAGATTTGTTCAGCAACTTAAGTGGTAGTTGTCTGCAGCAGATGAGTTTTTATTCTCAAGACATGAAAATCATGAGGTTCGAACATCAATAGGTAAACCCCTCCTCGGCCTTATCCAATATGCTTGCAATATAGTTGCTAGGCAAATTAAATGCTTGCAGGAAATATTTTAAACTTTTTATATACTGTTAAGAAACAAAAACTCATTGAGTGAACCGATTCAAGTTTTCTTGGATTAGTTGGTGTCTAAGGCAAGGTTTAGGAGTTGCGTAACGCGCTCTGTAAGGAACGAGGTACTTAATTGATCTTTGATCAACCTCTATTACTATCCTTACCTGGCTAACTACCCGGGTAAAACTTTAATCTTTTCACTTTAGGAGTTTTGGTTTGGAATAAGAGGACCGCAAATCAAAGAGGTGCATTTTTTAAAATTCTATTTTATATGGTGGATTATATTTCAAATCTTCAAATGTAAAGTTCATCATTTTTATTGCATTTTGATGAATATTGCAATAAATGCTCATATATCTTTTTAGATAACTTGCATTTTTTACATGATTAATTACAAGGTTTTATGCAAGAATGCACTTGTAAAATTTAAAGCACGTATGTACAAATATTATTATTATTATTATTTGTATAAGAGGTGGTACTAGAAAATGGCAACATAAATTTGGAAGGTCTCCTTTGTAGACAACCAATTTAAATTTGGAAGGTCTCATTTGTAGGCAACCGATTTAAATTTGGACGGTCTCCTTTGTAGGCAACCAATTTGTAACCTCTTATAATAGAAGAATTTTAAAAATTTTATGCATTTGAATTATGAAGTATGAAATATATTTTAAGATACGAAATCCTATTATGCTCTGCATGTATCTATTATTAATTTCATTCATGTATGTGCATATGCATAACTGCAGAATTTTTAGTTCCACATTAGTTTGAAATGTTCAGATATTAAGGTCAAATCCTAATCTGCACAAACACTATGTGTTTACATCTTCATACATAGACTATGATCTTTTATGATCATAGATCATGACCTAATGTCAATTTCAAACAATATGATGGACTAATTACAAAATAAGAACTTGATAAATAAATACAACGCCTGCTAGGCAAAGTTATGATTCTAGACTTTGTAAAATCTATGAAAAGAATCTTGATGGCTCTTTGACTAAGGGATTATCCAGGAGTGTGGTTCTGGATTCATCGAGGGAGATGGGGTTAAGCCCATAGATGAGGTCACTGACAGCGGCAACCCAACCCTTATTTGGAGACGTAGTCCCAATGTCGGTTCAATGTGGTAGAAACAAGCTGGACTAGTGACACTCGTGTGGAGCATCGACCTAGATATATTTATATATCATTATGTAGCATTTGCTACTACCCCTTCTCTATGATGACGATGCTCTTATGATACAACTGGCTAGGCTGAGTTTTACTCTTAATAAGTCCAACATGTGTATTATGGGGGGTATTAAATAAACAGCTGTAGTACCCTTTGAGGACTTACCTACGTGAGAGGAACCGTGATGGCCGCGGTTAGGGGGGCTGGGCTAACCTCTAGAAACTCTCATGAGTCGGTTTATTATGAACATGGCCTTTAACGCTCAACCCGCTTTGCTCAATAGATGAAGCGTATTGTGTGTGTTTTTATCAATACCTGATTAAAGGGGCCTAATTCAAGGCCTAGTCCATTATATCCCTCAGGTGGCGATGAACTCACTAAGGAAATGTTCAAAGCCGGAAGCTACCTCTCCCGAATTCACGATACGAAAGGTTGCCCAACCTATATTTGTTTTATGATTTCTTGATTTACTTTTGGGGGGGATTGTTAGATATTTTGTTAAGAAAAGACAATTTTGCCTTCATGAATTATAATAAATATTGTAATTAAAACATGCAATTAAAATATGTGTAACGAATATATAATTATGGGGAACGTTACAAAATTTATGACGAACGTTACAGAATTAATTACAGGTTTTGTAACGTCTTTTCCAACCCTATATATATATATCCATATGTTGAGCTCAAAATGATAAGGAAAATATACAACAAGTTTCTCTTGTTTTTCTTTAAGGAAAATATACAACAAGTTTCTCTTGTTTTTCTTCTCTCCCCTACATATTATTTTCATCTACATTTCAGTTTTATTTTATGGGCAACTTCCTTCATTTTTTATTTTATGGGCAACTTCCTTCATCTGAGCTGAAGCTCTGCACTCTCGCCCGAGTGTAGAGGTCGGTCGTTTCCGGGGGTTTTTACCGTTAGGGGGGAGGGAACCATCTGCGCTAGGGCGATAGGCGGGTTCTCAATCTTCTAGGGCAGTGAATACACGTCTGCTCCCGTTCAGGCCAGTTTTAATTATTTAATTTTTTGGATTTATCTGCATGCTATAATCTTAATTATTTGATAATTTTCCAACAACCTCCCATACCAGATCCGGATAACTCGCTCCGGCGACCTTGAGACCATCGGGAGGTACAATTTTGACCCTGTTTATCTGAAAAGAATTTAATGTTATATTTCTTCTCAAATATTTCATCTCAAACAAATATTGTCCCCGCCTCTGTATATCCCTATCATTTTCTACATCTCCTTGAATCTCTTCAACTGCGCCAAGCTCAATACAGAAACTATTGGAAACCCATCAGAAACCTCCTTATGTAATTCTTGCAAAATAATGTCTCTTGACTTTGCACTTGGGGTATTTGATGAAATGCCTGAGAAGGATGTACTGGAATACTTAGCAGTTGGTGGGAAACAAGGATGAGTTGGATGAGTTTGTTGGTTCTTCTATGTGTTGGGTAATGTTTTTGTGTTGATTTTAAGTTTGTGACCACCACTATAAAAATAATATATACATCACTCGGCCCAATAGAGAGGTCATCTTGCCACGGTCCACATGCAAAGTCTGTTTTAATTTGGGTGTATGAGGTATTTTCTTGGAAACCAAAGTAACTAACTTGACACTTAAACCATGTAGTTGAGCCTATTTGTTTGTTTGCACTGGCGTGTGTGCATTTGGTTTTAGTTTTGATTGTTCAAAGAGGACTTCTAGATTTTTTGGTTATTTCCATGTAACTTCCCTTTCCTTTTGTCAATTTGTTCAGTTCTCTTCCAATCTCAATAAATTTTGGTATTCTTAATATATTCTCACAATTCGTTTAATGTCATAGTTTTGGTTAATTAGTCGAATTAAATAAGCAGATCTCATGCTCTATCTGTTTATCCAACAAAACAAGTGACCACATCGCTTTTAAGGTAATCATCATTAGTTTTTTTAATATAGATTGAGAAAAGACGTAAAAATTACGAATGCTTTTGTGTTCTTTTTTCTGGCTTGCCTTGGGTACACCATTCAGCCTTCAATGGCTATCCTCTTGCCACAATCCGCATGCGAAGTCGTGGGGTAGTTTTGCAATTTTATAAAGTTTTCTCCTCTTTTTACGTCTCCTTTTGGTGCAGTTTAATTATGGTTATAATGGAAGCGCAAAGGAAAGCAACACCTAACATGCAACGCGAAGATGTATTTGCTGTTCAGTCTGTTGTCACCTTCGCGGGAGGCGCTATGAAGGACATTACTCATGATATGGTAATTTAAACAAAAATATAGACCCAATGGCTTTGCTTTTCTTCGTTATGCCACCGAATCAAAACTTTGTTAGCCTGGAGTGCTAGAAGGCACTATGGTCGCCGCATGCCCGCACATCCTTTTGGGTGAATGTATTATTTATGTATACAATTTATGTAAGCAATTTATGTATCGCTCTAGTATTTTGGTGAATGTATTATTTGAATATAATTAGATTTGATATTGGAATATAATTAGATTGTGTTGGATATGAATGTGATTTGGTGTTGTGCAATATTGTACACGTTTATAAGCGTGCAAAGTAGATTAAAAAAACATTGTAGCATCTATCTAGGAAGCTTCCTAGACGGAAATTCTATCTAGAAAGCATCCTAGACGGAATTTATTTCCGTCTAGGATGCTTCCAAGACTTTCCATCTAGGATGCTTCCTAGACGAAATTTTCCGTCTAGAAAGCTTCCACGATGGATTTTCCGTCTAAGAAGCATCCTATGTTGGCCTTCTTGTTTTGATGATGTTTAACAAACAATTTACGACTAATGTTGTTTGTCTAGTGTTTGTGGTTTTTTATTTATTGTAGACAAATAACATGTTGGAGATTGGATGGAATTGTGTCATAACGATCATATCAAATGAAGGTTGGCGAAAATAGTGGAGTGAAGCAATGCAATTTAAGTTAAAGATTCAAGTTCAAGCTTCATCCGCAAGTTTACCAAGTCGAGCTATATTGAAGACTTTTAAGCTTTGGTATATAGTTTATAGTATTTGTAGTATATGTTTATACTTATGTGTTAATATCTTAAGCTCAATATTATACACACACAATTCAATGGTTTATGTGTTTTATCCATAAAGGTTTTTACAAACAAATAGATATATAATACTTATTTGCTTTTTATGTGGATAAGTTATTTTGGTTTAGCTATATAGATATGAAACAATATATATCTTTATTTTCACATTTATGTGTTTTATATTCTATTGAATTTACAAAATATTATGTTTATGGATTGAAGACTTATTTACATTATTTTTATATCTTGTATAAGTCTCTAATCCATCCTAAAGTGTTTCAAAGTTTTGTTTAAGTCATTTTGGCAAAATCAAGTTTTTAACATACTTATATGATTTTGCAAAATGATGAGTTTCACATTTGGGAGATGCTTTTTGAAAACTAGTTTTTGTAGCATGTTTATTATGATGTCTACAATCATTTCTCAAAGTTTTATATTTTTTAGAATTTACTTGATATTTTTAAACCCTGTTTTAAGTTGATATGTATTGTTTAAAACATGTTTTGTGCATGTCTTAAGTCGACTCATGAACAGTGTTGAGTCGACTCATAAAATGTTGTGTAGTTTATATTTTGTTTCTGATGAGTTAACTCATAACATCATGAGTCGACCTAGACAGGTTGAGTCGACTCATGCCTGTCATAAGTCGACTCATAAACTGTGCTGGAAAGTGTGTTTTGTTTCTGATGAGTCGGCCCATGACTTCATGAGTCAACCCATGCATGATGAATCGACTCATGAATTTTATGAGTCGACCCATAAGTTGTTTTTAGCCTATAATGGCTAGGTTATGAGTCAACCCATGATTTTTATGAGACGACCTATGATTTTTATGAGTCAACCCATAAAGTGTCCGTTGCACAGTAACAGCTATTTTCCAGCCTTGTCCTGTTTTGGATTTTTGGTCTTTTTACCTTGTTTTCTCTTGGCTTTGGGGTTCCTATAAATACCCCCACATATCCTCAGGTCTAAATACTTAAGAGAATATTTTAAGAAAGTTTAACAAGGGTTTAAGTTTTGTTTAGTTTTGTTTTAAGTTTCGTTTGTGAAGATACTTTCACAAGAGGAAGTGGAGATCAATTCATTGGTGGTTGAGCTTTAATTCATCTCTCTCTCTCTCTTGTCATCTAGAGAAGTTTTCCTAAACTCAATTCTAGCTTTCATTTATAATTGTTTATTGATTATAATTTCTACAAGCTAGTTTTTCATAATTGAGTTTAATTTTGATTTACTCATTGTTTACACACATAACCTATTGAGCTTATTGTATTTACATTCATGGTATAATTTGGGTTGTGGAATTGTGATATTGAGTGTGAGCCTTCATTGAGTTCTCATCTATTCTAGAGAACAAATTTGTTTTATTGTGAGCCTATTTGTGAAGATCACTTTGTAATACACTTGTACACCGAGAGGAGTGTGTGGTGAGAGACGGGGTCGGTCCTAAGAGGAGTGGGTAGGTGGTAATGCCTAGAGAGAGGTTGTAATTCATAACACTTGAGAGAGACACAGGCTAGGGACCAATACTTGAGGTGGTAGTTAGTGTAGTTACATTGTGAGATAATGAACGTTGATCGGTGACCGTTAAAAACCGATATTGTAAGGTGTAAACGTTATTCGGATGAGCGTAGAAAACCTGGTTGTGATAGTGAAGATCTCCTCAAGGTGAGGAGCGGAGACTAGGTCGTGGGGACCAAACTCCGTGAACATATCGTGTGTTTGAGTTTGCATTGGTGCACTTATTTTTGTTCATCTCATTGTGCCTTTGTCTCTTTGTTTATATTGCCCACTATCTAGTTTCGATTGCACTTATTTTTGTTCATCTCATTGTGCCTTTGTCTCTTTGTTTATATTGCCCACTATCTAGTTTCGATTATTTACCCTTGTGTTAGTTTCATATCCCCTTTGTCTCTTTGTTTATATTGCCCACTATCTAGTTTCGATTATTTACCCTTGTGTTAGTTTCATATCTTTGCATATATATCTCATAGTATATTTAATTGCCAGGATATATCCCTTTATTCATATTGCGTATTCTTGCTCATAATTGGTTGTATATTATACTTGCAAGAATATATTTGTTAATTAGTTTTAATTGATATAAAATCAAATTAGATTAGCATAAAACCATAATCACCCTCCTCTAGGGTCTAACATCCTAGACGGAAATTCCTTCTAGGAAGCATCCTAGATGGAATATTTCCTAGAAAGAATTTTTTCGTCTAGGATACTTACTAGACTGTTCTACGTTCCGTCTAGAATATTCTGTCTAGAATGTTTCCTAGACAAAATTTTCATCTAGAATACTGTATCCTAGTTAGAAACATACTAGACGCAAATTGTAGATGGAATTCCGTCTGGATGGTTTTCTTAGACGGAAATTTGAGTTTCCTAGATAGAATTTTTCATCTAGGATGCCTCATTTTGTACCAATGATAATTCCAGAAATTTTAATCCACCTATGATTTTTATATACACATGCTATTCTTATTAAAAAAGAATTAACAAATTCACGGGGGTTTGACTGCTAGAGGTGTAATGTTAACATAACAGCGATTAGTGGGCTTATCATCCTATTGAAGAGGATTGATAAGTTAATTTCATCATCAGAAGTGTAATGTTAACTTGATAATGGTTTGTAGACTTGTCATCCTATTGAAGAGAATTGACAAGTTAATTTTATCATCAGAGGTGTAATGTTAATATGATGATGGTTTATGGACTTGTCATCCTATTAAAGAGGATTAATAAGTTAAATTTGTCATCAGAGGTGTAGTGTGAACTTGACGAGATTTTTAGACTTATCACCCTATCGAGGGGGGTTGATAACTTGATTTTATCATCAGAGATGTAATGTTAACTTGATGATGGTTTGTGGACTTGTCATTCTATTAAAGAGGATTAACAAGTTAATTTTATCTGGAAAAGCTTGCTATGTCAAGAATAAGACAAGACGAATTCGAACTCCATGGGGATGTTACTCGTCAGAAGTATGATGTTAACTTGACGAGATATATAGGGATGGTTTTGTGAATTTTGCAGTTTGATAGTGGTATTTTGTTAAACATGTCATATTTGAAGATTTGTTACTCTTAATTCAAAGAATTCCAAGTAACTAACCCCCAGTCTAAGTGCGTTTAATTTCTCTTTTTAAACTTAGTAGGGGAGAAAAAAGGGGGTCTCATGATTTATGGGCAATATTTCTTGAGAAAGTTTCTATTAATTGGCATCATGAGCCTATCACCTTTTTGATTAATGAGACGGTAAGTTCCATTCGAGTAGACTGACTCTACTACAAAGGGTCATTCCCATTTGGGATTGAATTTTCCTTTCGTCTTATGTGTCATGACCATAGGTCTTCTGACTACTAAAACAAGATCGCCTTTCTTAAAGATCATTTCTTTGACCTTCTTGTTGTAGGCTTTTGAGATTCAAGCTTGGTATAACTCGATCTGTTGTCGGGCTTGAAGCCACTTTTTATGTAATGCTTCTAGCTCTTGAAAGCATAGTCGATGTTGTTCTTCATTAGTCATCCTAGTTACAAGAGCAACTCTTAGGGATGGGATCTGAATTTCCAATGGCAACACGGCTTCGTATCCATATACTAAAGAGAAGAGGGTAGCTTTTGTCAAAGTTCTCACCGTTATATAGTAAGCCCATAAACATTCATCAAGTTTTTTTGTCCCAATTGCATTGACTTTTAGAAATAAACTTTTTGTGAAGCTTCACAATGGTTTTGTTGAAAGCTACTGCAAGATTATTAGCTGGCGGGTAATATGCCATTGATGCGATACTTTAAATTCTAAACTTGTTGTAGAATCTCTAGAAGCCATGGGTGACAAATTAAGTTCCATTATCGTAGACTATCCATCTTGGTACACCAAAACAGTAGATGACATGATGTTTGATGAATTTGATCACGTTTGAAGCCTTGCCTTCTTTCAAAAGAATTGCTTTTGTTCACTTGGAGAAATAATCAGTTACTGCCAAGATAAACCGATGTCCTTTAATGTTGGCAGGGACATGGGTCTAACGATATTCATTCTCCACATCTCGAATGACCAAGAGGGAGATGTTGGATGCAAATTCCCTAGTGCTCGATGGATGAAGTCACCATGGATTTGGCATGCATGACATCGTTTAGTATAATCAACAGCGTCTGTAAAATTTTTTGGCCAATAATAACTAAGTCTTTAGAGTCGATCCACTAATTTAAATCCTGGTTGATGAGCTCCACACATTCCGTCATGGGCTTCTTTGAGAGCTTCTTACACTTCTTTTCTTGAAAGGCAACGAAGCAAAATTCCATCATACAATTTTTGATACAAAGTTTGTGAAACCGTATTATAATAGAAGCGAAAGGCTTTTCGTTTGACACCAGCTACTTCTTTAGGATCATCGGGCAGTATGCCGTACAAGACATAATCGATTTATGGGAATCACTAATCCCTTG